TTGTTTCTAGAAGTGTTTACTCACCGTGAGTCAGGAGTCCGGATGCGCCCGCTCCCCAGACTCGGAGGGGACCCCGGGCCCCTGTCGCCCAAGAGCGACCAGGCCGCAGGGAAGGGGCGAAGGCCTGGCACGCGTGTTTCCATCGCGTCCTGACGGCTTCCTCGCAGCTCCCTCCACCCCCGGCCCCGTTCTCCTCCATGGTGTGGAAGGAAAGAAGGGGACCCTTGTCCCCACGTCTTCAGATGTCTCCCAGCCACGTCCCAGGGCCTCACCACCCAGGACGGCCGGTGAGTTCCCGAGAACAACGCCTAGAAGCATGTGCTCCCAGCGACGAGAGTGTGGGGACGAGGTGGCCGAGTGGTTAAGGCGATGGACTGCTAATCCATTGTGCTCTGCACGCGTGGGTTCGAATCCCACCCTCGTCGGCCAACAGCGCAAGACCGGCGGTAGTGCGACTGCGTAACTTCTCCCTGAACTTTGGGGTCTCCCCTCCGCCGTTGGTTGGGTGTGGGTCACCTGCCCCGTTTTAGGCCCGCGCAGCTTCTTTCTCCTTTTCCTCTGACTCCCGCCTCGCTGAGCGAGCAGGTGAAGCGGCCCTTGTCACAGACCAGGAAGTAGAACGAGGGTTTCGCCCGCCTCCCCGAAGGTAATCTCCAACTTTAGTTTTACTTTTATCACTTGAATTTTCTTCGTTATTTATCACCAAGTTTTGCTTCCTGAACGCCATTGTCTACCTATATCTGAACTTTATATAAATAGAAACATGTTTTTACTTTTTTAATTTTTTCATTCATGAAATTCTGTACGTTTTATTATTGATGCCATAGGTGTGTTTTATCTATTTCCATTTCCGTATAGTGTCAGTATGAATATACCATGACTTATTTATCGTTTGTATTCATCATCCGTTGCTGTGTATCCAATTACCCCAAAACTTAGTTGTATAAAACAACATTTATTATCCTCCAATTTCTGTGGCTCAGGATTCTAGGCGTGGCTTTGCTGGGTCCTCTGGCTCAGGGTCCCTCGCCAGGATGCAAAAGCGTGGGTAGGGGCTTCTGGTATCCCCAGTCTGCCCTGAGGAAGGATGAACTCCCAGGCCACTGACGAGGCTTTTCGGCAGGACCCCTTTCCCTGTGGACTTAGATCGAGGACCTGAATCTCTACCAGCCGCCATCCGAAGGCATCTCTCAGTTTCTTGTCATTTGGGTTCCCCACAGCACATCTCATGACATGGTGGCTTCGTCAGAGAAAGTAGGAAGAGCCGGAGGGCGTGGAAGCGCGACAGAAGCCACCATCTCTTATAATCTGATTTTGGAAACGATATCCCACCACTTTTGCTGTATTCTGTTCCCCGGAAGTGGTTCAGAGAATGGCCGGAAGGGTGACGTTGCCTTTTATGTTCGGGATCATCCACTGAAGGAAGTTCTTCCTTCAGTGGAAATTCCATTTGGCAACAGGGGAACCAAAGAATATCCTTTTGCTAATTTATTCAGAGATATACTCTGTGCCGGGCACTGTTCTAGAAGCCGGGAAATACATCAGTGATCGAAATAGAGAAAGAAAAAAAAAGGAAAAATACAGCTGTTGATGGACTTACATTCCGGGGCGGGCGGGAGAGGCGGGGAGGATGGTGAAGACAAGCACGTGAACAGGTAAAATACTGATAGTGAGTGTGTCAGATCTTGAGACATGAAAAGAAACGGTAGTGAGCAGGGAGAGGAAGCGCAGACGGTGTGGCCCAAGTGTAAGATCACAGTCAAAGGCCTCGTCGACAGGATGAGCGCTGGGCGTGAGGACCTCAGTGCCCTCTTCACACAGCGTGGAGTCCACATCCCAGGGAGGGAACTGGACTTTGGCCACACGGCTGTCCAGACCAGTTCAGCCCCTGGGCATCTCCTCTCAAGGATGAGCACGAGGCTGGTTTTCAAGGACAATGCAGCCATCTGCATTCCCAGTGCGGAAACGGGTTACCCCTCCTGGGACCATGAGCTCAGCTTCCCCTGCCCAGAAGTTCCAGCCACTCTACTTACTAACAGGAAAGGGTTCCAACCTAGAAGGCGAGAAAAGCAAGAGACAGAACCGCAAGGGGACCGTGTGACCGCTGGCCATTTGAGCTAAGAAGTGAAGAGAACTCACACGTATGCATTCGTGTTTGTATAAAGAAATTCCAGAGTGGTGTGCAGGAAGCTGATAAACGTGTTTGCTGTGATGGGGGCACCGGGCACTCGAGGACTGTGCTGGGAGCCGGATCGCTTACGATAGTCATTATATGTCCGATTATTAAACTCTAGCAATGGCCTGCCTTACAGAAACCGCAAATCAAAACAAAGTTTTAACTGCGTTACCCTGAAGGCCCAACAGTGTGCCAACGCGCGATTCCTTTCGGTGTCGCCCTTTGTCGACCGCAAGAGAAATATATTCGTCGTCTTGGCTTTCTTTTGGAGGGAAATGGATTATGCACACAAAAAGTACACGAAAGAGAATAACGTCCCTCCGAGTGCCCAGCGCGCGTGCTTCACCAACTGCCGACGTTTTGCCATATTGTTTCATTCTCCTGCCTACGCTGGGCAGGAGGACAGTGTAAAGAAATCACAAACTGGATATTTCGATCATGAATGTTTTCGCAAATGTCCTAAGAGACACAAACAAGATTTTCATACTTAAGAAAATTTTTAAATGATTAGTAACATCATCCCAAGTCTAGTCCTTTTAAAAATATCCTCAATCGCCTCAAATATTTTTTTTACAATGATTTTGTCTGAATTAGGATTCCATTAGATCGACATATGGCATTTGCTTGCACTGTCTCTTAAATCTATTTTAAGTCATAACATTTAACCAAAAATCTCCAAAAAAGAGTTAAAAGAGTTTGTTCTTTGGGAAAAGATTGTGAAACTATAATCTAGGCGATGGGAATTTTCACTGTTTCTGGACTGTCTTTGCTTGTAGATGTTTTCTGTGAAAAGTACTCAGGAGAAAAAAAGTTGTTTCCCAAAAGGAAAAGAAAAAGTAAGACCATACTTATATTTTCTATTCAAATTTAAGTTAAAGGACTGTGGATGTGAGAAATGTCCAAAGCTGTAGAGAATTTGTATGAGTTTATCTGAGCCTGACTGATGACATATGCCGGCGAGCAAAACCTCAGATTCTCCGGAGACTGGCAGTTCTGCAGTCGCCTCCTGCGTGTGGAATGAGGGAGGGAAGGTCGGAGGTCACATGAAGTTGCGGAAAGCGAGGTGCAGACAGCTCGGGAGACCATGTGCTCCTGGGAGGGTGGTTGTGCTCTGGGGACCTGACAAGGTTTGCTCCTGGCATTGTCCGGCCATGTGAAACTAGATGCACCCGGACAATGGGCGGGGCCGGCTTACAGCCCAGCGAGCCTTTTACTGAAGAAGCCCTAGGCCTGGGCCTGACTGCCCACCTTGACTTGCCCAGTGAGGGGGTGGGGTCAGGTCACCCTGTGAAATTACTTGCCATAGAACCCCCCTTTTTCATCCACAACATTTTTTTCCTCTAGAAATGAGAATCACATCCCTTGACTAGCTAAATTTGCCTTTTTTCTTCTAACTTTCCATTTCAATTCTTTGCTTCTAATATCATAAATATAAATTATTCTTCTGGTCCTTTAATCCCTTTCACTAACTAAAGGAACTTTAAAATAGAAACTGATTTTTATTCCATAAGAGAGACTGGGATAAATGTTCAAGCTTCTTTGCCTTCATTGGACCCCAAAAAGTCGCGTTTTGTCATCTAACGTTTTCATCATGTGCATATATGGCAAGGGAAAGGAGTATTCCAACTACAAAGCATCTGGTGTTTCTCAGACTGAAAGTTTTACTCCCCAAATCCCTTTCTCTCCAAAGAAAATTGAGAGGAAACAATAAATCTCATCCCCCGAAAGAAATATAATGTCAAAGAAAAGGCTGACAGGCCAGACGGACCACCTGACAGCGTTGTCACGTGCCTGCACCTGGGCGCTTCCTGTATGCCAGGACCAATGAGGCCGCGAGTCCCATTCTGTCCTTGGCACGGGACCCCCAGAGTGTCTGAATTCGCTTCAAGCTAAAATTTTCATAACTTAACCCTGGTGCTCATCAGAACTGATGGCAGAGCCCTTTCAAAGGCAAGGCGTTCTTAAATGATAGCGAAACGCTCAGGAAATTGTTTCTTTACACAAAGGAGTTCCCGAGCTTTGAAAGGGGCGGGAGACGTTACTTCTGTCCTTAGTGGAGCTCGAGCTTACCGCGACCGCATAGGACAGGTTCTCCAGACTGCTCGGCAGACAGAACGAGAGAGAAGGCACAGCGCAGAAGGAAAACAAGCACCAGCTCACTTTGAGAAAACGTGAATGGCTCTGAAAAGAGCCTTTGGGGTCAGCGGCAAGGGCGATCGGGCGCGCGTCTACTTGGCGCTGGTGTACTTGGTGACGGCCTTGGTGCCCTCGGACACGGCGTGCTTGGCCAGCTCCCCGGGCAGCAGCAGGCGCACGGCCGTCTGGATCTCCCGCGACGTGATGGTCGAGCGCTTGTTGTAATGCGCCAGGCGCGACGCCTCGCCCGCGATGCGCTCGAAGATGTCGTTGACGAACGAGTTCATGATGCCCATGGCCTTGGACGAGATGCCGGTGTCGGGGTGCACCTGCTTCAGCACCTTGTACACGTACACCGAGTAGCTCTCCTTGCGGCTGCGCTTGCGCTTCTTGCCGTCCTTCTTCTGCGCCTTGGTCACCGCCTTCTTGGAGCCCTTCTTCGGGGCGGGCGCCGACTTGGCGGGCTCGGGCATGGTCGGGAGGA